TGATTGGTTAGCATTACTGCTACAGAGTGCTTATTGATTAGCATTACTGCTACTGAGCGCTGATTGATTAGCATTACTGCTACTGAGTGCAGATTGGTTAGCATTACTGCTACTGAGTGCTGATTGGTTAGCATTACTGCTACTGAGTGCTGATTGATTAGCATTACTGCTACTGAGTGCTGATTAATTAGCATTACTGCTACTGAGTTCGGATTGGATGGCATAACTGCTACTGAGTGCTGAATGGTTAGTGTTACTGCTACTGAGCGCTGATTGGTTAGCATTACTAATAACGAGTGCTGGTTTGTTGATAACGAGCAGGGCAGCTCATTGACATCATGAATGTATGAATTTACAAACTTGCTAAAATGCTCCATATTAGCCCATTTAGACTCGCTCAGGAGTGCCCTCTAGTGTTTGACAAACCTGGAACACATTATTAAGTGGCCGTTCTCCTCTCTCCACATTCCCTGATTTTACTGTGCTAACTACATTCATTTTTCTATGATAACTACATACAGTGTGTAATGCGATCGTAATCCTAATCTCAGACAACAAAAGATCAGCTTTGGTTTTTACTTTTTCTAAAAAAAAACCTGCAGTTGTTGAGAAGCACTTTCCCTCATGGAGAGCAGCCAAATGTCCTCATGACGACAAAATGTTCATGTTTTCATCACACATACGCTCACATACACACTCAGAAAACAGATGGTGGAAGTCACCAGAGCAAACCCGAGCGCAACCTGCCCGACACAAATGAGACGCATTATGCTGCATTACCCAAAGCCATCGAAGTAAACACACCCCGCAGCGCCGCGTGAAGGATTTCACTGCAAAACGCCAATTACTATCTGCACAAAGTAATGTCTCGCATATGGGGACTCTGTCTTTTCCATATGCATGTTCACTCTAGCCTCGGGATCAGACGCAGTCCAACCCTGATGAACTTCAGGCAATCACTCCAATCTCTCGTTACATCATGTTTAGCACTTCCGCAAATGGATTTACAGAGTGTCTCAAATAAGTACCTCATTAAGCTTATCTTTCTTAACCAATGTGATTCCACTTCTCATCAAATGCCAATGTTTCTCTCCATGCTGCATGTTAAATCTAAGAAATACACTTTCACACTTTTTTCACACTGAAAAAAAGAAATCAGCTACTTTGGTAAATTTGATTTATTTTTACTTAGTGGTGAAACCTTGAAGATCATCCAGCTGTGTACACGGTAAAATGAACTAAGCATATTTTAACACATCATTACCACTGGCACTGCCAAAAACAAAAGCTCTAAAGACTGGTACCCCCTTAAAGACTGGCACCACCAAGAATCAGAGCCCTTAACACTGGCTCTATTGATAGTAAGAGCCCTAAACACTGGCTCTAACAAGAGTGAGAGCCCTAAAGCCTGGTACCAGTAATAGTAACAGCCCTAAAGACCGCCACTACCAAGAATAAGAGACCTAAAAACCACTATAGCCAAAAGTATAAGCCCTAAAGACTGGCACTTCAAAGACTAAGAGCCCTAAAGACTGATATAGCCAAGATTGAGAACCCAAAAACTACCAAAAATGTTCTGAAGACCAGCTCTACCAAGAGTGAGAGCCCTAAAGGCTGGCATGACCAAGAGCAGGCCTTTAATATTGGTATTACCAAGAGTGAGTGCCTTTAAGACTGGCACTACCAAGAATGAGAGCCCTTAAGACTGGAACTAACAAGAGCGAGAGTCTTCAAGATCAGCAATACCAAGAGTGAGAGCCCTAAAACTGGCATTACCAAGAGAGCCCTTAAGACTGGCACTACCGAGAGAGAGAGCCCGTAAGACTGGCACTACAAGGAGCATGAGTCCTAAAGACCAGCTCCACCAAGAGTGAGAGCCCTTATGACTGGTACTACCAATAGTGAGAGCCCTAAAGACCAGCTCTATCAAGAGTGAGAGCCCTGAAGACCAGCTCTACCAAGAGTGAGAGCCCTAAAGACTGGTACTACCAATAGTGAGAGCCCTAAAGACCAGCTCTACCAAGAGTGAGAGCCCTGAAGACCAGCTCTACCAAGAGTGAGAGCCCTAAAGACTGGTACTACCAATAGTGAGAGCCCTAAAGACCAGCTCTACCAAGAGTGAGAGCCCTAAAGGCTGGAACGATCAAGAGAAAGCCTTTAATATTGGCATTACCAAGAATGAGAGCTCTAAAGTCTGGCACAACTAAGATCGAGAGCCTTTAAGACTGGCACTAACAAGAGCGAGAGTCCTAAAGGCTGGCACTACAAAGAGTGAATCCTTAATATTGGCATTACCAAGAGTGAAGCCCTTATGACTGGTACTACCAACAGTGAGAGCCCTAAAGGCTGGAACTACCAAGAGTGAGAGCCCTAAAGGCTGGCATCATCAAGAGCGAGAGTCTCGCACTACCAAGAGAGAGCCCTAAAGACTGGAAAAAATAAGAGCCTAAAAGGCAATTCTTCTCCTAAATAAGGACCATAATGTTGAACACTTCTGTTACTGTGCATAAATATGTAAATGTACATAAACACCCCTTTCTAATGCGCATCACATCCACAGTGCAACTGTACACAATATCCTGTTTATTTTTAGAGTGATATCATAACGAGATAATATCCTACACATCTTCATGTAGTGGATAAAGGTTCTGATTCCTGAGATTTTCATGAACGCCCCTGTAGTTTGTTCGCATCATTTGCGCGAGTTCACTATAAAGGTTCAGCATCATGGCCTCAGAAAACTCCAGCGGGATAATCAAGCAGCCTGTCAGGCGTTCCTCCGTCAGGAATTAAAGCAAACTGAATAAAGGGCTTTCTCAGGAGGATACACTCTAACGTTTGTGCCAACACTTCACCAGCCTGCTGCGAAGCCTCTTATTAATGCGGCGCGTGCCATCTTTTGTTATTCCCCTTCAGGTCTGCGCTCGTTTCTGTCAGATCCGCTTCATGTATATATCACTGCCAGCCTGTTTTTGCTCTCTGACCCGTGTTTACCTGCTAAATATGGAACTGTTGTCCTGTCTCCTCCGTAACGCAGCAGAGCTCTGTACTCAAAGCATCGCCGAGGAGTGTGAAGACAATGTTGTCACCGTCTTGGTTGGCAGGCAAAGACTTTTAACACCACAAATATCACATCTGAGCCTCTGCGAATCAGAACGTCTGGCTGCTTTAACCACTGCTATCTCATCCGAGAGCCCAGCAGATACAGCAGATGTTTAAATGATAAATTTGGACTTATTGCTTTTTTAATCAGTCATTGTACAGTTGAGCAAAATCATAAATGAGACTGGTCAAATATGTTAATGAACCATCAAAAGTACATTATGTATGCATATTAAAAAGGCTATGAACTTAATGTTTGTAAAGTCCACTCATAATATGGGACAATGTGCAGGAACAACACTGCACATCTCTTCAGTGGGAGTGGGTGGAGCTAAACTGCTGTAGCCTGAATGGGTGGGGCTAAGCTTTTGTAGTTGAATGGGTGGGGCTAAACTACTCAAGGCTGAATGGTGGAGCTAAACTGCTGTAGCTGAATGGTGGGGCTAAACTGCTGTAGGCTGAATGGGTGGGGCTAAACTGCTGTAGCTGAATGGTGGAGCTAAACTGCTGTAGCTGAATGGGTGGGGCTAAGCTTTTGTAGTTGAATGGGTGGGGCTAAACTACTCAAGGCTGAATGGTGGAGCTAAACTGCTGTAGCTGAATGGTGGGGCTAAACTGCTGTAGCTGAATGGTGGGGCTAAACTGCTGTAGGCTGAATGGGTGGGGCTAAACTGCTATAGGCTGAATGGGTGGGGCTAAACTGCTGTAGCTGAATGGTGGAGCTAAACTGCTGTAGCTGAATGGTGGGGCTAAACTGCTGTAGACTGAATGGTGGAGCTAAACTGCTGTAGCTGAATGGTGGGGCTAAACTGCTGTAGCTGAATGGTGGAGCTAAACTGCTGTAGCTGAATGGTGGAGCTAAACTGCTGTAGACTGAATGGTGGGGCTAAACTGCTGTAGCTGAATGGTGGGGCTAAACTGCTGTAGCTGAATGGTGGAGCTAACTGCTGTAGCTGAATGGTGGGGCTAAACTGCTGTAGCTGAATGGGTGGGGCTAAACTGCTGTAGCTGAATGCTGGGGCTAAACTGCTGTAGCTGAATGGGTGGGGCTAAACTGCTGTAGCTGAATGGGTGGGGCTAAACTGCTGTAGCTGAATGGTGGGGCTAAACTGCTGTAGCTGAATGGTGGAGCTAAACTGCTGTAGCTGAATGGTGGGGCTAAACTGCTGTAGGCTGAATGGTGGGGCTAAACTGCTGTAGCTGAATGGTGGGGCTAAACTGCTGTAGCTGAATGCTTGGGCTAAACTGCTGTAGCTGAATGGGTGGGGCTAAACTGCTGTAGCTGAATGGGTGGGGCTAAACTGCTGTAGCTGAATGGTGGAGCTAAACTGCTGTAGCTGAATGGTGGGGCTAAACTGCTGTAGCTGAATGGTGGAGCTAAACTGCTGTAGCTGAATGGTGGGGCTAAACTGCTGTAGGCTGAATGGGTGGGGCTAAACTGCTATAGGCTGAATGGGTGGGGCTAAACTGCTGTAGACTGAATGGTGGAGCTAAACTGCTGTAGCTGAATGGTGGAGCTAAACTGCTGTAGCTGAATGGTGGAGCTAAACTGCTGTAGCTGAATGGTGGAGCTAAACTGCTGTAGCTGAATGGTGGGGCTAAACTGCTGTAGCTGAATGGTGGAGCTAAACTGCTGTAGCTGAATGGTGGGGCTAAACTGCTGTAGCTGAATGGTGGAGCTAAACTGCTGTAGCTGAATGGGTGGGGCTAAACTGCTGTAGCTGAATGGGTGGGGCTAAACTGCTGTAGCTGAATGGGTGGGGCTAAACTGCTGTAAGCTGAATGGGTGGGGCTAAACTGTTGAACTCTAAAGGCCCTTTAATGCCTAATGATCCTTGCTGTATGCATGTTCGTGAAGGGGAGTTCAGAGTAGATGCTGGGTGATCATGGAGACTCACAGTGATGGAGAGTTTCGTCTGATGAGTCGGGACAGTCGGCTTCTCCATCACACAGCCAGCTCACAGACACGCACACCCTCCCATCCGCACAGAGAAACTCCCCATCATCACATACTGCTGCAGGAGGACGGAGGAGTGGAGGAGGGAGGAGAGAAAAGACAGAGAAAGAGAGATGAATGACAGATGAGTGGACAGAAGAAGAGAATGAGCCGCAGGTTGAAGATGAGATGCAGTTGCAGGTTCAGTATTCAATCTACAATTCCAAAAGTCAAAGTCTGTACATAACTAATGTCCAGTTTTTCTTTATTTGAAGGTCCACCACTTCCTACATTTCAATAAAAACAATAATAACAATAAAAGTGAACAATAACAGTTTCAGAATTCATTAAAAGTGTGTAATAAAATACAGAATTACTCCAATCAGAAACAGTCCAGCTTCACTCCGGGCTGCAATGTTTAAGATAAAGCCTTTTCCGCTGAGCATGCTGTTAGCCCCGCCCTGATGGGATGACTGACATGTTTAAGGGCGTTTTCACACTTGTCCCAAATACTTGAGTCGACACCCAGGACCAGTTCTGGGCTCATTTGGAGAAGGGGCTCGTTATCTGTGGTTTGCTTTCATGCACAACAATCCCATCCGAACCGCGGATCGACTGCGCAATTCCATGGTCGGAACAACTTCATCTGTTTGCTGCTTTTTAGCATTTTCCTTGGATACAAACACTCAAACTGTCCACAGCAGTCCTCTCCCCCCCAGTCATGACACTTGTAAAGGGAAGTGATGCGATAAGTCGAAGCAGTCAGGTCACGAAATGAACCAATCAAACAGCCCCACACCAAAGTTCCCCTAGACCACCGATTTCAGGAGGACCAGAGATCAGTTCTCTGTTCCACTTCCTGGCTCGAAAACAGCTTTTACACTCGACAAAACGTACCGAACTCACAGACCAAGTGGACCTGGGTCCAGAAAATGGTCTAGTATGAAGACGCCCAAAAATCAAAATGAAAATGCAACCTGGTCAAATTTCATGCTTAAATGATTCTATACATAGTGAACTGGTTCTTGAGATTGTGTCTTATATGGTTCCATGAAATGGTTATATATAGAAGTCATGGTTCTGAACAGAACCATTATATAAAGCATCTAAATCTATGTGTAAATGAAATGTCAGTGTAAGTGTACCAAACCGCAAAGTAGAACCACAGTATTGATTTTCATTTTGAGGCCAACACTGCACACACTGAAGAGCCAAAACATTATGTCCACCTGCCTAACATACTGTTGGTCCTCCATGTGCTGCCGAAACAGCTCTGACCCGCCGAGGCATGGACTCTACAAGACCTCTTTAGAGGTGCCCTAAGGTTTCTTCACGAAATTAGTAGTAGATCCTTTAAGTCCTGTAAGTTGCGAGGTGGAGCCGCCATGGATCGGACTTTGTCGGCTGTCTGGGCATATCCCACAGATTCTGGATCGGATGGAGATCTGGGGGATTTGGAGACCAGGCAACATCTTGAGCTCTTTATCATGTACCTCAAACCATTTCTGAACAATGTAGGCAGTGTGGCAGGTCATTATCCTGAGGCCACTGCCATCAGGGAACATCGTCACCATGAAGGAGTGTACCTGGTCCATAGCGATGTTAAGGTAGGTGGTACGTGTCAATCTGATTTCCACATGAAGGCCCAGACCTGAACATTGCCCAGACCATCAAACTACTTCCTTGTGTTCCCATAGTGCATCCTGGTCCATTAGTTACCCAAGTGAACTTCAGACACATACCCAGAGACGTTCTTCCATCGCTTCAAGGTCCAGTTATGAAGCTTTTATGCCCATTGTAGGCTCTTTCAATGGTGGACAGGGGTCACCACGGGCAATCAATCTGTCCACTATGTGGCTACACAGCTCCATACAGAGCAGGGTGTGATACACTGACACATTCCTCCTGCAACCATCATTAGACATTTCTGTGACTTGTGCCACAGTAGCTGTTCTCGTCATCTCAGATCTGCAGATTCTGACCTTCTGAACTCCTTCAGTAAAACACAGAAAACGTGGAGAGACTCTTTCAGTGATTCTGCTTCTAAACTGTGGAGCTCAGTTCAGCTTTTATTAGACAGTCGAGCTCAGAGCTCACTTTTAATAAACATCTGAAAACGCAGCTCTTTAACTCAGCGCTTCATTAAAACTCTACGCCTCTTTGGTGTTTATATTTTTAATTTGATCTGTGTCATCGTCTTATATGATTTTAGATTAACCCTGACAACAACGTTGTATACGACATCAAAGGAAGTCGTACATAAAAGAATAAACATCTCAGGAATGTTGAACACTAGAGACTCAGTTTTTCCCAGAAGGCTAGTGTAGTGCTGTTCCAGTAAGGGCTCTGGTGTGATTGTATCCCTTTCAAAAGCTTTGTAATCCAGACTTGAACTGCACTGTCCTTTTTAAGACTGGAGACAAATCCAACCCTGAATGCCTTCTGTGATTGTTTTTCTGTTTCCCAGTGCTGAAAAGACTTATTGTTGTTGTTAGTATGGTTGTTAGCCGTCCACTGACGCTTTGGGTTGAGTCTGTCGACCAGTCAGAGGCTGTGTTCTTGACCTGTTGACCAGTCAGAGGCTGTATTTCTGACTTATGGGCCAATCAGAGGCTGTGATTCTGACTTGTTGACCAATCAGAGGCTGTTTTCATGACCTGTTGACCAGTCAGAGGCTGTAGTCTTGACTTTTTGACCAATAAGATTGTGTTCCTGACTTACTGACCAATCAGAGACTGTCTTTATGACTAGTTGACCTATCAGAGTCTGTGTTCCTGACTTGTCGACCAGTCCACTGATGCCTTGGGTGGAGTCTGACGATCAATCAGAGGCTGCGTACCTGACTTGTCGACCAATCAGAGGCTGTGTTCCTGACTTCACGATTAATTAGAGGCTGTGTTCCTGACTTCACGATTAATTAGAGGCTGTGTTCCTGACTTTTTAACCAATCAGGGGATGTGTTCCTCACTTGTTGACTAATCAGAAGTTGTGCTCCTCACTTGTCGACCAATCAGAGACTGTGTTCTCAATGCTACCATTCCCGGGCAAAATACTAGTCTCTTGCACTGAGATTTATTCTTTTATGTACGTCACCATTTGATGTCGTATGAGACTTCGTTGATCTGAGGGGGTTAACACTCATTGTTTCTTCTACTATTGTAAAGCTTTATCATCTGTCTGTAAAGCACTTTGAGCTGCCACTAGTATGGAAAGTGCAAGATAAACAATAGATACTATTAATCTTCTTACTTTGTCAGTTCAGACCAGATGGGAAGGTGCATCAGTGAGCCTCGGGTGGCCAACACCCTGACGCCGGTTCGTGGTTTGTCCCTCTTCGGTTCCCTGTCAGATGGTACTCTCCACTACTAACCAGGAACCCCACAAGCCTTGCCATTTCAGTCATCCTCCGATTCAGTTGTCTGGACTGAGTGATTTTCTTATCAAAGTTCCTCAGGTCTTTACTGCACATTTCCCCCCACATCGAAAACATCGACTACTAAATATTCCCTTGTCTTAAGATGTTAACGTCTCAAGACAAAGACAGTGTCGTCACTCACACGTCTAAAGCAGCGCGCAACATAGTCCCTGATATCTGTGGGGTCCCATGTTGCCTGGGTACTCCAACGCTGGCTAAATGCTAACTTACTCACCTTAGCGGTGCTGGTGCTCCAATGGCACCAAGATGTTTAGTTCAACAATTCTTCTTTTCAAAATGCTATTTTCTAGCCTGGTGATTCAGACCCCTGTATTTTGCACCTTTTTCTCTAGGTTTCTTGAGACATATTTACATGAACAAATGTCTCGAGACGTCTCAGTAACACTGTCAAGAAGCGACAGTTCCCTTACTTATTCATTTATCCCAGGCCCCCTGTTATGAGAAAATCAATGTGATTTGCTTCTTCTGTGATAATGTTTTGGCTCATCGGTGTATATGAGTGTAAAATTGGCATTCAAATATAGGAATACATTTCCATTTTACATAATATGCTTTCATTTTGATTTTGCTGCTGATCTGCGCCCGTACAAACGTTTGAGTGCTGCCGTATGAAGTTGCTGTGTGTAACTGAGTGCTGGTTAAATGAGTTTACACAAATCACATTAAAGAGTATACACTAAACTGTGTGAACCGAAGGCAGACAGAAGCAACAGCAACATTTCCAGCTCGCTGTCGCCATTCAAATAAATCACTATGTGGGATGTTTTTATGGGAGCAGATGTAAACATTTCCTCTGGCACCGAGCGAGGCGCTAATGAATGCACCGTCAATCACAGGCTTCCTTATCAGCTATTACTGCAACGTTTGACCATATCGGCTTATACTTCTTAGGTCACGTGATCAACTACAAGGAAAGGCATTTTTAGAAGGTGTGTTGTCAAAAAATCAATGCGTTGACGGAACTGTTTAAGTCCATTAAATATTTAAGTGAGCAGCGTTCAGTAATGTAGAGTGCAATATTGGACTTTTAGATATAGAGTTACAAAGTATTGTGTGCTGCAATCCCCAGCCACTTTATTAGAAACATCTCTCTTGTTCAGCTTTGCTGGTGTTCAGTTAGAGAATGTAGATCATTTGTTGATGTGCAGTTTGTGCTGGTCATCCTCTAGTTCTTCATCAGTGGTCACTTTTTGATCACAGAGTTGATAAACCGTGGAACAACAGATGGGCTGCAGTCACCTACACAGTGGAGATACAAGGTAGGTGTTTCTAATAAAGTTAGTGGAAGCACAAGATAGGTGTTTCCAATAAAGTGGCCAGTTAGTGTAGGCGCAAGGTAGGTGTTTCTAATAAAGTTAGTGGAAGCACAAGATAGGTGTTTCCAATAAAGTGGCCAGTTAGTGTAGGCACAAGATAGGTGTTTCTAATAAAGTGGCCAGTTAGTGTAGGTACAAGATAGGTGTTTCTAATGAAGTGACCAGACAGTGGAAGTACAAAGTAGGTGTTTCTGATAAAGTGGCCAGTTAGTGGAAGCACAAGTTAGGTGTTTCAAATAACGTGTCCAATAAGTGAAAGCACACGTTAGGCGTTTCCAATAAAGTGGCAAGTAAGTGGAAGTACA